CTGGTGCAAATTACTGACCTCTGTCATCATTTTAAGTGGGGGAACTTGCACAATCGGTGGCTGACTAAATACTTTTTTGCCCCACTGTATACTGAGGTGTCAAAACTTGTCATTAGGGGTACGAAATAACTCTACAAGCTAATGAGTGACAAGTTACAAAGACACATAAGTGGTTGAGATAGAGACCTATTTGCTCCAAAATCATCTGTTCATGTTCATCAGTCACTTAGCTCCAGTGACCTCAACAGCCATGCTAGTTACCACTTTTGTTGCGCATGCACTAAAAAAACTTAATTTTACTGTCAGAAAAAGTAGAAGTACGTCAGTAGAGTTCTGCTTTCTGCCCCAGAACTTCGAATACCAAAGCTGAAACTCTACAGACTGCTGCCAAGTTTTCTTAGCTTTCCAAGATGTAAGTATATCTGTTTAGTTTAGTTTGCAGTTCTACCAGACTGCCTGTACCCCTTGAAGAACAAAGACAGTTTTCTAATGGTTGTCAAACCACATCTTTATGGACATATTACTACATTTTTATGTGCTTTAAGCCCCGCGTGCAGTCCTATCAGACTGACAGTTTGCGCTGTCTGCAAGTGATGAATTGAAGTGTTCAATTAACACTGCTTTGATTTACCTCCTGTGCCTGTCATTTCACAGGCATAATGGGATTCTGTATGATATATCTTTTTCTCTTTTCATAATGTGGAGCTGTGTTCCTAATGGCCTATTGGCACATGATTAGAGGAGATTTGATTGCCGTGCGCCTTTGTTCCAGCTGTTAGGGTGGAAAAGAGATTTGGGGACATATAACAAGAGAAAGGTGGGGGAGGGGACTCTTAAAAAAAGGTGCTGCGTGAGCAAAGAGGGAAATCACCACAAAATGATGGCAAGATTAAGAAGCGGGGAACAATGAGACAAGACAAGGTGGGGGAAGGGAGGAGGGGGGAGACCAGAAGGAAAGAGAGCAAGAGAAACCCCATCAAACTATATTTCTCCCCAGAGAGTGTAACACCGTGATGAAAGAGGAGGGAGGCCCACATGCGCGTGGCCCCTTGATTAAATTGTCCGAACAGGGAGCGAGGGAGGGGCCAAATGAAAGGGAGTGAGGACTGGAAGAAGAGAGGGGGTGAAGGACGGAGATTAATGGTACAGCTCAGCGAACACCTATAAAGAACAAGACTGTCATTATGTGGAGGAAATAAAAAGAAAACCAGATTGCACCATCCAGTACGGGTGGTGGCACTGAGCACGTGCACGTGCGAGCAAGCTCATGCGCATTCAGACCTGCAGTGCACACATGCAAGTGCTGTTTAGCCTTGTAATGTGCCAATAAATCAGACGAAGGCTCTTACAGGCCTTAGCTCTCCTGCACCCTCCTCCGCGACCTCCCTCTGACTGCTCCATGTCTCGTTGCTCTACTTTATGGCACATGAACCAAAAACCTTTGCCTGTGTGAGTTAAAGAGAATTCAGTGTTCATGCTGTTTGCCCATCCTTTCTTACGGTGGGCGCTCAGGGGTCATTGTAAAATGCATTGACCCTCATCCAGTTCTATATGTGGCTATAATTTTACGAGGCTCACCTCATGCTGTCGTTCTGCCATGTGTGAAGGTGCTCTTACTGTCAATGCTGTGTTTTATCCCTAGTAGTTAAGGTTGCCAGGAGCTGGGGGCTAGATACATGCAACACTATTCTGATGAGTTATTTCTGCTTGGTAACCAAGGGGGCAGTTGGATGTTACAAGGCAGACCTTTGAATTTCAATGAGGCAGACTTTGTGCACCTACCTAGCAGCTTGTGCCTGCTGATCGCTTTTATATTTGATCCTGTTTACAACGGGCAAATTGTTTTATGAGGATTTTCAAATCAAATACATGCCCTCACCCTTGCTGCTATTTCTTGCTGTTTCTCTGGTTCTTGACGATAGCAAGCACCATAATCTTTTTTTTTTCTCTGCCAAGTCAGTCGTGCTCGTAACTAGCAGTGGAAACAGCCACAGTACTAACATGTTTTTTGTATACACAAATAGCCTTGTTACTGTTGTAACGGCAAAGACATCTGCTGGAGTTTTCAGTGTGACCTTAAGGTTTCCGTCGAGACAGCAGCATCTGTTTAAAGACAGTATCGGACTAATTAAGCGTCAGATATACCATCCAGGATTGATTATGAAGATTGGTCATGAGGAAGCCTCGGAGAAAGAAAAAGCAGACTTCCTCCACAGTTTGTCTTTGAAACATTTTGCTGAGTGATCTAAATACAGTAATGTTACTGTGATTAGTTTTAAAGCCTCAATTAAAAGGATAACAGTCCGAGAGGTGAGGGTTTTTTTTGTTTTTTTTTTAATGAGGTAAGCCAAGATATGCGATTATATAGGGCAGCAATGGCATACTACATGCAAGTGGGTTTTTAAATATTTCGTGTGTAAGATACACCCAACAAGTAAGCCAGATGTTAGGTTCAGCTTCTTTGCAGTCTAACATGTTTTGAGTTTTTCTTTTGATTCTTATTGTCTATTTAGTCAGACCCAGAAGACCTACCTGCATTTTTGTTATTTTCAACAAGGTACAATAGCATAAAAGCACTACAATACATCCATAGAAATCAAAAACCTCATCACTTCTTCATGAGCATGTCAAGACATGGCTTCTATTTTTGATCGTCATGCTGACCTCCTACTCTGTGCCTTCTTTCATGGATCTCAAACTTGTGGAAAGAGCAAACATGAATTGTTGTTTCAGGATTCTAGTAGACTTCAAGAGTAACATCCTAATAGAGAAAATTCATTAGAGATGATGGGGCTGTGCCAGCAAATGGTACAAAAGTACACAGGAAGATGATTTTGAAGATAAAGCCAACTAAACTTAAGTCATGTTTTATAAGCCCACTCCATCACCTCATTAGATAAACAGTCCAACCAATTGTTATCCCTTTGGTTCAGATACCTAGTCTTTCTAAAGTAGACATGTTCGTCCTTAAAAAGACTTGGATTTCTTAAAGTTGGCACCATATTTGCCATAGCTAACATTTCCTGAGGGCTACTGACATTTCTGTTCTATACAAACTATATAGTGCGTAGCCTTGAGGATCATTTCTGGCAATTTCATTTTCTCTCTTTTTTCTATTTAAGAAGAAGAGTTTTAGTGCTTGCCAAGAATCTGTTGACCAGTTGTTGTCTCTGCTGTAGGCATTTGCTGTAAATATATAGAGCAAAAATACAATGTTTTTTCTTCTATTTGAAGGGATCACCACTGTGCTAACCATGACCACTATCAACACCCATTTGAGGGAGACACTCCCAAAGATCCCCTATGTTAAGGCTATTGACATGTACCTGATGGGCTGCTTCGTCATGGTTTTTCTGGCCCTGCTTGAGTACGCCTTCGTCAACTACATCTTCTTCGGGAGGGGCCCACAAATGCAAAAGAAACTGGCAGAGAAGGCAGAAAAGGCCAACAACGAGAGGGCGGCTAAGTACGACGCGGCAAGGGTAGGTTTGAATTTGATTATTGATCACTTGATACCGGAGTGTGTATTATCACAACAGCAGCAGAGAAAACCAAGGGAATCCGGGAACTTTGTTACATATTTGTGAATATTTCAAATCTGCCACAAAAGCCAGCAGTGAAAATGCTTTGCCTTTAAAATCAAAAGCCAAACATGAAAACTTTCGAGTCTTCTTCATTCTAATTTCAAGTGCCATTGTTATTGTTAGTTAAAAATTAACTATTTATTGTTTTAAGATATTTTTTTGTTACCAGCACCTGAATATAATGCACTACTACTGTACTACTACATGTAGGTAAGAGTTTTCTAGGCTTAATGTAGCCATAGTGTAGCTGGTGTTGCTGACGTTACACTGCTTGAGTAACTTCGAAAAGTTAATAGACAGGACCAAATAGGAGGCTTTGTATATACTATATGTTTGAACTGAGAAGTTGCAGGATTTAGCTCGGCAGGAAGGCTGATAAAATGTGGCGTGGGTGATAATACGTTGTAGATACTGAATAAAATTTGAACACTGTCTATTTAGCTTTAAAGGCAAACCCTGCTAGCATGCTATATAGCTGACAGCACGGCTGGACGGCAGCTGGTGCGCTGCCAAAACTTTCTGGGAGTGTGAGTACACTGAAGAGAAATGTCTTGCCAAATGAAATGATGTGATGCTGGACTTGTATGTGATATATGCAGCTGCTTTCAGAAGTTTGTTTTTTCTTTTTGGCAGTGCATGCTAGTAAAAGTGGAGCAGATCATTCAGAACTTATACCTGCTCAACTCTAGCTGTATGTGAGTACCAGCGCCATTGCTGGACAATATGGCCATTCTTTAGCACCAAGAAAATAGGAGAAAAGAAGGGCTAATATGTGCTGTTCTATAACTCCATTGATGGCTTTTGTGATTTGTTGACATTAATGTGGAATAAGTTTGTCCAAATGCATTTTGTTAATACTCAACAATAAAAGGATTCTTTTCTTTTCAACAGTTAAGAGTGAGGTACTACAATAGGGATTGTTGCCTGTTAGACACTTTTGAAAATGAGTGAAAAATGTGAATAAGATAACATTTTTTGTTGTACTGAAAAAATATGAATGTCCACAGTCCTAGCAGGATAACTAAACCTGTGAATGGAGCTGTATGTTAGTTATTCTCAAGAATAATTACGTATAACATATGTATAACAAAAGGGGAACATTGTATGCTGTTTACCTGCTTTACTTTATTCATAGTGTTCAGTCACAAAATATATTGGTTAAATGGAGAAAAAAAAGTTTCAGACATTTGTTCCCAGCATGTGGCTGAAAATCTTCATCTCCTCAGGAGGCAGGTAGTAGGACCGCGTCCCTAAAACGGTCCAATCAGGTTAAAGGTCTTCGCCACTCACGCTCGGTGAGTTTTTTTTGTTCAGTGAGACCCTTCAATTCGCCGTCATCATCAGCAGACATGGATGCGTTTTCTTTTGCCTTGATGCAAAAATATTTCTCCATCCATGTGATGAACTGAGCAATCGCAGACATCTCCATGACATCGCAGATTTGCCACATTGGTGTTTCTGATATGACTTGTTTCCTCCTTTCAGAGCTCATTTTGAATGCATGCTGTCTGTATATCTTTCCTCATTGAAGTCATCAGTGAAGCCATTTCTTTCACAGCGCATGTAAGAATGTGGTGAAGCAGTCCGCCTGCCAGTGGGTAGTCACTGCAGAGGTCCCCCACCATGCACAGTGGTATACAAAACAAATAAATTAATCTGAATATAGGGAACGAGTGCAGCATATTTACAAAGAGAGATACTAAAGTGACTGTTTTATTTGATTTAATAACATAAGACTTGAAAAACAGTTCATATTTAACCTCAGGTTTATTACACTGCAAAAAGTTGTATTGAGTTTAGTGATGATTGGTAGCCGCCATAAGCTTTTTTATTATGTGGTAATTCTTGATTACTGGAGCCTGACTGATATATGATATTTAAGACTGATACCCATATTTGATGATTTAAAAATCTGATATTGCGCTATATCAGACAGTATTTTTTTCTTTTAGACACACAAAAGAAACAGATTTGCCTAACCTTTTTCCATAACCATTAATTTATTTACTCCTTCAGTTATTGTGTTTGTGGCATCCCAGACACATTTGACAACAGGGAAATTGCATAATCTCTACGTAAGCATCAAATTGTTCAAATAGCTAATACTGTCATTTACTGGCATGACCATAAATCAGTCAGACTCTGGTGAAAGCAGTACATGCACTAAAATCAGAAATGTAGCTGTACTACATGTTAAATATAAGTACTCCATATTTATATAAAATACAAAGATAGATTTATACCTATTTCCACAAGATTTGGAATGTTGTGTAAAATAAAAATAGAAACAAGTGATTTACTAATTAATTAAAGCCTGTGTTAAATTAAAAATAGTACAAACAAAATTTATCAAATGTTAAACCCATAATGGTTTTTTAAAGAATATATGCTAATCTAGCACATTTTTTATGAAATTTGCAATAAAAATATGTTTACCACTCTACAAGGCCTTCTTTGACAGATTTTCTTAAATGATGTAACTGGGAGACAGTAGGCATTTGTAAAGAGCCATGATGTGGGCATATCTCTAGAATGCATTTTGGCATTATCTTTCTGAAACAATTAAGGCCATCCCTGGAAATAGTGTCGTCTGGATTGCAGCATGTGATGCTCTAAAATCTGTAGTTGCTGTACAGCATTAATGTTGCCTTCACATACGGGCAAGTTGCCGTATGCTCCCCAATTGAAAATATGTCTTAAATGATTTGAAAATCAGTGTATATTGACATTTTAAACAGTATAACCTGTTTCCAAAAAAGCCTGTATGCTAAGTGCTTCACATCACCAGGTAAGCAGACTAGAGATAGATCACAGAGCTTTAAAAAACAATAAAATATTCTGAAATATAATATAGTGTATAGCACATAAAAAATAAAACTTCGGGATGGGGTAGTGCATAGGCTAATAATTAGTAAATCAAACACCTCACAATAACAAACTTCTTGCCGCAGTTTTAATTCTAACTCAAACAAAAAGGAACCGTGGGACTTCCACAGTTGCTACATTTGCATGAGCAATCACTACTTTTCATTAATGTTGATTTGTCTGTAATCATAAGCATGGATTATGATGTATTGTATCTCGTGTTGAATTTAACTGTTGAATGTGACAATGAATGAACTGAAATAACTTCTATTCAACTGATGTATCAGGTTAGCAATTTAATGTGTTATCATGGACTATATTGGCATATTAATGTGCAGCAGCAATGCAACATGATTACAGTTATAGTCACAATGTAAAAAAAGTCAATTCTGTGAATATTTGCATGTTAAAATGTGACAAATATGGGTTTGTTTGTTTTTTTCATTTTTGATTTTAGCAAGCTGAAGACCTAATTCCATATAGTAAATGCGTTCAACGTGCTATTCAGCCAAAGCGTATTGTAGCTTCTCCAAACCATTGCTACAATGGAGTGAATAAGGAGTAGAGGGAGTAATGCTGGCACCTTCTACAACAAAGCTATGTGAGAAACAAGGTGTTGGCTTTCAGTGCACATCCATGGGAACCATGGAGGAAGTGCAGCCTTCCATGTGCTTTAGTGAAAAGCTGGAGGCAGAGGGCCACAGAACATACCTGACAATGATCAAGTCAGATGTTTCATGAAAAGAAACAGCTGGGTTGAAAGGTGTTGCAAAGCAGCTTGCAGATGAGTAAGATTTGTAAGTAAGATAGTTGGACTGTTTGCTCTACAAGAGATTTTTAGATTTGATGTGTAGCATCAGCTGATACTTAACAGACAACTGATTTATTGTGACAAAAATAAGACTCATTTTTGTAGGCACTCTCTTACTTATTACTTACTTATTTATGTAGGTTTAAGCTACCCAAAGCTTTACATGGCTCTGTGTCATAACCATTACTTTTAAATGGTGAATTAAAACAGTTTGAGATTTCTTTTCTAATAAGTAATCAATCTGTTATATTAAATTTTATATTTAAATTGCAAGAGATAATACAAGGAGAAATAAGTAAAATAAGCCTAATAGTTAAAAGTACAAGCAGGAAGTTAAACTAACTCCACAGAGACAAAACTCTATGGAAAATGACTCTTCACTTGTCTCTTATCTGTGACCTCAGGAAATACTTTTCAGTTGAGTTTATGGTCTCAATCAGAATGGTGTTCGTGCATTAATGAAACTCAACAAGGTTAAAGGACATGCAACTAAGTTAGCTAGCTAGCCATCGAAAATTACTCAAATGTTGTTGTTTTTTTAAAAAAGAGGGCACCTCATACTGTGAATTTAAAGTTGAAAGTTACAATAATTTGCCTTTTACAACTTGAAAAATAAAGACCAGTGTCCTCCGAATGTCAGGTGGTGTTACATATTTCCAGTCTGGATTATTGGTTAGCCTTGTTTTGGACAGCCGATGTTCCATTACTGCCACCTGATGGAACAAAAAAACAGATACATTTGTTTATGTAAGCTGCCAAAATCAAAATTATTATGAAGTCTACGGTAGCTCCTATTTATTTTTATATGATGTGATGCAGAGTTTGAGTAAAACTAACCCATCCATCCTTTGAAGAAATACAATAATCCTCGAAACTTTTTCAACACTTTGTTTTGAAAGTGTTTGAAACACAAGGGCTCAGATAAAAGAAAAAAACAATGTTTGATATCTAATCTCATGGGGGAATTCAGATGAGGTCGGGCATGAGAAAAGAAAAGAAAATGCATAACAGTGCTTTAAAAGGAGCCTCCCACTTTTGCATCCTAATAGATGCAATGTCATACTGGTGGAAACAAAGTAGCAATGAGCCTAACAAGGCCCATTTGTTACTTCAGTATTTGTATTGCAATGTATGTTTTCCTGTTTTTCCAGTGTTAATGCCATTTTTCAATGCAAGATATTTTAACCGTCTGAGGGCTAGGTTGCCAAGGCGATGGGACCCAACCCTAACAATAATGCTAATACTCACTCAAGGGGCAATCAGAAAATGCTTCTTTTTTTTTTAATTCTTCTCCTAAGAAACAAAAAAATAATCATTCCAACCAATGGAGCTAGGGTTCGGGTCGTACGGACTTTAAACCCCAGACGGCCATGAAAATCTTTCTTTCAGGATTCCTTCAATTCTTGGTCTTGGAGGGAAGGTTCCTAAAGTGCTGATACTCATAACTGTTTTCTTTCTCCATTCAGGCAGAGCCACATGGTCATGGGAACATTCTGCTGACCACCCTGGAAATCCATAATGAAGTGGCAGGAGGTGAGATCACCACCAGCGTGGCAGACATTAGAAACTCTCAGTCCATGGTGCAGCTGGACAGCACTGCCTCATCGCACATCCAGTATCGCAAGCAGAGTGGCGGAATCGGTCCATGCTCTGCTAGCCGTCACTCCCTGGACCGCTCCGCTCAGATGAAACGCAGCCGCCTGCGGAGGCGGTCCTCGCAGTTAAAAATCAAAATCCCCGACCTGACGGATGTAAATGCCATTGATCGCTGGTCACGGATCATTTTCCCTTCCGTGTTCTCAATCTTCAACCTCATCTACTGGCTCTACTATGTCTGATTGGACTGTTTTGTTGAGGTGTTTTATTCTGTTTTGTTTTTTCGTTGTTGGTTTTTTTTGTGACTTTTTTCATTTCATTTGTTTTTCTTCCTTTTCTCTGTTGCTTTTATACATGATGGAATCTGCCACGTTGAAGACTGTAACACAATAAGACAAGAGTGAAAAAGAGACTGAGAAAAGACTACTGAGTTTTGGACCAAGTTCTCATTTAAGTTGTTTTTATATTTGCAGTCTTTGAACCCTTAGTACCGAGTTCTTTTTATTTTTGAAAGTATGTACTGTAATTGGGATTTGTGACAGTCATTTCCCAACACATTTGCCCTCTCAGTAATGTGTAAATAGCAAGATACAAAGCCAGCAATTGAATAAATATTACAGTATTTGCAAAAAAAAAAGAAACAAGAACCAGTTAAGTTAAAGATTTTTCTAATTAAAAAAGTAAGAAATCTTTATACTACACAGGTGATCAGATAAGTGCAGGCAACTCCTAGAAATCATTTACCCTATGCACTATTAATGCATGTAATGATCAGCCGTAGTAGAAAAATAATGAGTACTTTTTGCCTTCGGTAATAGCACAACTTCACAGCAACAAACCAATGTGTGTTTGTTTATAGCATTAATAATATACTTCCTACTAAATACAATTTATCATGCATTGAACTGGTAAACCTTTACCCAAACACAATAACTTCAAACTCTTAACATCCCCCAGGTCACTGGCAACCCATTTAGGGGTAGGTTTAGGCTAATATCTACCTTTTTTTAAAGACTTTATCACCTACTTGGAACATCCAGAAAAAAAACTGTACGGCCAAAATGAATGTACTTCATTTGAAAGGTAGCATAGTTTCTTCAAATGTGCCCATTTCCTATGTTAATTAAACAGAACCCTAGAACTGACCCTAGACTGACCACCGATGACCAGCTGGAGGTTAGGAGTTTGAAGTGGAGGTTTTTGTCCTCTGTTCAGAATGATTATGACTCAGGTTCTGAATTTTTTGGGTGTCTTTTTCTTAAAAACCAAACAAAAAAAATGTCGCTGAAATAACTTTTTTGGTCATTTGATAAGGGGAATAGAAAATAATAAGCACAACTCTGACAACTGCCATTTCTTTCCTCTTCTACCTTCAACCAACAACACTTTTCAAGTGATAGCATGACAGAATTGCACTTAAATTTCTCCAACATTCTAGAAAAACTGTTTAAGAAAACTGCCAAGGGCCTTTTGGGCAATACAGTTATTACTTATCTCATGAAATATTATGATATTTTTGTACTCTGCATCTTGAGGTCTTCATTTGAGTTCCTAACCTATTCTTGTTTTCTTTTGCGCCATCTCCGTTGTGGTAATAGAATAAAAGACCCATTTTTTGTACATAAGTTCATAGGTGTGTATATACATAAATGTGTATATGTATATATACATGTGTATATATATATCTATATATAGCTATGAGAGGTGGGATCAAAAAGTTCCAGGGATGGGCCTCTGAAAATCAAAACTCTTTCTCATTTTAAATTTGGGTCAGTAGACTTTAGTTCAAGGTTATCTTCTCACGTACCATTCACTGTTAACAGTGCATTTTAAGGTCACTTAACAGAAGTCCTGTGTTTCTCTATTGCTCACTGGATCCACTCAAGTATCTCAACATTTCAGATTGATTTTCTTTTACATAATCTGGATGAAGCAAATCTAGCAAACAGATCTACCAGATTTGCAAATAGATTTGCAAATCTTGCAAATATTGTGCTGATGTTGTCAAGAAAACATGCATTTTGAATGCACTTAGTGCTGGCACACACCACCGTTTTTGTAGTTCAGTGCTAAATGTTCTGCATTGATCCCTCAAGACATTACCATAGAGGTCTGCATTGACCGGATGATCCCTGGACAAATTCTTGTTGCAAAAACCAGTGAATTCCAACAAAATGTATGACAGTACCCCTGTCACCAGTGATGACAATTCCAATACTTACTCCACAATAAGTGTTTCAATGAAAATCACTGTGTTGGGTAATTAACAAATCTACAAGGCATGTGAGATGACAATATGTCACCAGTTGTGTAAGACAACAATCACGCTCAGTCATGGTACAGGCAATTGTGCGTAGTGTACACCTAAGGACAGAATTTCTAGGCATAGCCAGGTGGCAGAAAGCTTCCACTTTGGTGCCCTCAGAATCTCATCACTGCTTTTTGCAGATGATGTGGTTCTGTTGGTTCTATGAGGTGTGGGTCTCATGCTCGCACTGGAGCAGTTCGCCAGTTGATCTATGTCCCTACCCTCACCTGTGATCACAAGCTGTGGATACAAGCGGCAGGAATGAGTCTATTCTGAACTACTGTGTTAATGCAGCCAGGGATATAACCACCAACCTAAATTGTGAGTTAGTGGAAGGCCTACTCTACAGGCACCCCTAATTAAATTGCCCAACTTTAATAAGTTAAAAACCACAAATCAGCAGTATAAAAAAGTCTTTTGGTCTCTTTGAATAGTTTGCCACTTCGTCAGCAACACTAAATGGGGCTAATTTTCTTATAACTCACCTACCTGGATAATTGTTTTGGGCTCAAACCAATGATCACATTGTCTGTCAGTTCTTGTGATTGGACTCTGTGGGGCCTCATCTACTTCTTTCAGTCGTTAAATTGGACTGCTTCACTGTAGGTTTCTTCATGGCGCCTTTTTGAGGCATTTTAATTGGTTATTTGATGCTTTGCTGTGAGGTAGAGACCTTTCAAGTAGGTCAACCAATATAATTTATGAACACAACCAGCTAGCTAGCATTAGCTGCTAACTTAGGACTCCATCTTTTTATTCATTCATTTCTGGCTCCAGAAACAAACATGGCAACTGCTAAAACATTAACATTAAAGCTCCATATTTGACACCCATAACCAGTGGTGACAAAAATCATCATCGTCATCATCATCATCATCATCATCCATGGTGCCATGTTTTAGTCCTTTGACATATATATACATTTAAGATGTGCTGTGAAAATGACCTTGAACAGTAGCTCAGCCAAATTAAACTGGTATGGATTTTGATTTTTTCGGGAGCCTGTTCCCAGAAGTTTTTGTTCACATCTTGTATATCTCTGCGTGTACAACCCCAAAATGAAAATGATCTTTTTGTGATTGTCATACTGGCAATTAACATAATTTAGTAGAAAGAATTAAACTAACAGATCTGTTTCATGCATCCGTTTAGTTTTGAGCATTTGTGGGGCACTCTGAAGACATTCCTACCCAATAACTCCACTCAAGACACTGTATGTATGTTCAGCTGTACTGAGTGATGCAAATGGATTCCATAGAGCCCGAAGATGGACCAAGATAACTGATCTGTCGTGTAAACAAAAGCACATACTAGTATTGAATGTATCAGATCCATTCTTCAGGGAGAGGATAATGAGCCATGATCATAATTTTTCCATCAGAATGTAACACCACATTGTGAGTGACAAATAGAATAGAGTGAGAAAGTAAAAAGATGGTGCTTTACTAGTGTGTGCATGTGCATGTGTGATGGAAAGTGGATATGGAGCCACTGAAAATTTGTTTTCTTGCTGCTTGCTCAACTATGGACAAATGTCAACATATAATAGTTTTCTGGATTAAAAATAGCTCTACTGTCAGACTCTTTTGACAAACTGTGTGCCATTCCACCTAAGGTCGCAGAGCCATCAACCAGTTTTAACTTGAGGATGTACATTTGAAGCATTCTTGATCAATTGCAGATACATGGAATACATCCACTATTTGTGCATGTACACGAATACATGTAGAGAAAAAAAAGGTTCTTGATAACCGTGAGTTTGTTGACAGAATACAATCAGTGGAAAAAATGTAAAGTTTTCTTTGTACAGGTTGATATATGACTAAGAACTGAATGTATTGTACTTGGATTGTTTCTGCACAATTGCAGTTTGCTTACTGGAAAAAGGATTGACCTCAGTACTGATTAATATAGAGCTCTTGTGACCCCAAATCACATTTTCTGCTGTGTATACAGGCAAATAAGACCAGGGTACAAGAAAGAAATGGCAGCGAAATAATACATAAGTCTGCTTAGGCATAAAGTTAAGGAAAATGTACGCTTTTATGCAACCTAACAAGCATCTACCCCTACAAAGTTGCTCTAGAGATGACCTGAAACAGACATTCTGCTTCCTATTATAATAGTAACAACAATAATAATGCTATTATACTAAAATTATCTGCAGTCCAGTCAGAAGCACAACAGAGGGTGTGTGTAAGATGGTCTCCAATAGGAATTGTAATTAATGGCGCTAAATGGTTTTAATAGTTGCATATGCTTATGCTTCAAGAGAAATAAACCCAGATATTTATTTATTACATTTTGCAAATACAGTATCTGTAATATTTTGCTGAAATCTGTGAAAAAAATAAAAAATTGAAATATTATGTTTTTGTCATAAGCCAGTCAAAAAGAACAAACAAAATTTACCCTTTTGGGCCCTGTTCATTCTGGACCATTACCTGATCGTAATATAATTCCAGCTAGCAAAAGCTTTTAAATATATTAGAAGTTCTACGGTAACTCTGTGAAGTAGTTCATCTGGTATTGGACATGTCATCCCCTTGAAGGCGAAATCTGTCCAAAAAAACTTTACCCAACGGTGTGTTACCAGCACAAATGGAGACTACAAAATATTTTTGGAAATCCAGAAAATATTGCTCAATCATCAAGTGATTTACAGTAATGTGGAAACAATTTTATTTCACTCAGATACAAATTTGTCTCCACATCGCCATTGTGAAATTGACTAGACTTTGTATGTAATTGCGCTACATGTTGTTTTGCAATGAACACACAGTAAAAGAAAATGTCTTTGACTTTGGTCTTGGTCACAGAGCATTGTTTGGGAATATCTTGCATTAATGCAAAAAAGTAATGAAACCAGTCTGTCCAAAGAAGATTCAAACTGCTTTGTGTAGTTTGAAGGACAATATTTGTACCCATATAATGTTGATGAAGCTTCAGTCTAGTGTAAATAAGACTGAACACGGAAGCTAAAGAAAAAACCTTTTACAACACGTATCTAAAAAGATCTTCCTGGCTAACTGGTTTGCTTTGAATGACTTTTGGATAATGTGCTGGCATTACAACTGGTCAATGTGTGAGTCATTTTTTTTTTTTAAATTACTGAACTACAAAGCGCAGTTTACGAGTAAAAGAAGGCAAGTGTTATAAACTCTAGATACCTGTTTATCATGCATGCAACTACAATTCGTAACTTTGGAGAATTAAAAAGAAAAAAAAGATTTATTGCACACTCATTTATAAGAGCTGTCAGCTGCTCATTTTAGAAATGACACAATGCCGTGTGAGCCTACATCTAATAAATAAATAAATATTAAAAAATAAAAAATAAAAATAAAAAAAAGTCATTGAATACTTCAGGTGTTGTATGGCCTTGGTCCCATAATGGAATGTGAAATGTTCTGTGCTGCCACAAAATGTATTTAGGCTTAGATTTATACTGTATATCTCTGTATGTTTCTCTTCCTTTTTCGGTAGATTTCCATGTTAAAACATCAAATAAATGATATACATTGTACTTGTGTACTTGGTATTGTATATATCATACAGCAAGAAGATGCACCTTCCTAAAGTTAGGGAAATCCTTACAGAAACTCGGGAAACTAGTGAAACAGTTGCCTGGAAGTCCAGAGATTGGTGGGGATGACATCTCGTTTTGAAGCAGACAATTTTGTTCCAACAAGGTACTTGTTTCCTGTCTTTTTCCATTTTCAGTTCAAATCCATATTGTAATTGACCACTTACACTAGGATACAATATCATATGGTCAAATGAACTTGCTGAATGCATGCCAGAGTGATAATCTACAAGAGTACTGTAGGTTCCTGGATATAGGAAGAATTGGCAAGCCTATCAGACTTGAAGTGTATAGTAGCATCTTTAGTAGATTAGCTAGCTCCCTTAAAAATGCTAAAATAAGGTTCTCTCCAAGCTAAATTAAGTTGTTAATCCTGCAGGTCAGGGTGTTCAAAGCACAGATTACATGTTTTCTTATAATGCTGAAAGACAAGCTTGTACTGTCAGTCCAAGTTTATGTTTTTCTGGCATAGATTCAGCATCAAATCTTAATGCTCCAAAGGCTCTCAAAACTTGATCACAGCTCAGACAGACCTGCTGGGACAACATTTCTTCAAAGACAATAAACCTAGGTTGAACACCATGTATAAATAATACATTGCATTTAAATAACTTTTATGTGCCATCTGGGTGTATAATCTGAGCAATGTAACTCATCAAGGGTTAGTCTATCTATTTCATAATATAGTTTCTTTGAAGCAAGTTGTAAAAAGATACCTCTGAGACATACTGTTATGTGCTTACCCTTAACTAAGCAGTGAATCATTTTTCAATGACCTAAGTCTAATACCTATGCAACAGGCAGCTCAAAGGAAGAGCAGGAAAACACAAAGCTGGATTCCAGTTTCAATGGCCCACTACTGTTCATGCATACATAGTTCTAAAGCTTGTTGAATGAGGCAATGTGAAAACATGCCAAATTTTAGGGATGTAAAACTTTTTTAAAATGGCACTGCACCAATATTTCTGAGAAAACAGATGGGGCAGTCTTCTCAATTTAATTATTTTGTTCAACTAAAATTGGAAGCTAAAAATAGGCATGGATGTTAGCTGTCGTCAAGGAGAATGGGTTTTCCCTTGGTGCTTGTAGTTATATCTGAATATAATATGTTTGTATGCCCTACCATTTCTGTCTGCGGCAAAAAAAAAAATGTTCTCAGTGTTGCAGGATGTGTTCAATTGAACTGAATTGACTTTCATTTATGTTCCAACAGCAGTCTCCTTAAGGAGCTTTTGTATACTATAAGGTAAAGATTAAGGAAGAAGCAGCGATGCAAGTGTGCTGGAATAGTGTTTAAGCAGGGCTTGCGGTTAATTAGAGAGGAAATCGTGCCCCCTTCCAGCAGTTTCTGACCTGGAGAGGTGAAGGTTAATGGACATAATAGTTCAGTTATTGTGCTAATACTATGAAATGTAGCTGGAGACTCTAATCAAGTCGGTGTGACTGCAGCAGTTTGATTGTGAAAACCCAAAAAACTCGGTTTCAAGTATGATAACAGTAAAGTCTCATAATTAAAGAAGTGAATGTCTAATTCTTTAGTTATTATTCATAAAGAATTGGGTTGATTCGATTCATAGCACCAAACTGCAACAGCGGTCCCTTCAAGACACTTGTACTGTAAGGTAAAGGCTATAGAAAATAATGGGGAGAAAACCCCAACAATCAGATGACCCCTGATGATCAAGCACTTGGCAACAGTGAGAAGGAAAAACTCCCTTTTAACAGGAAGGAACAACTGGCAGAACCAGGCTCATGGAGTGGCGGCCATCTGCTGCAACTGGTTGGAGGTGAGAGGAGGGAGACAGGCCAAAGACAAACTGTGGACAAGAGCTAGAGACTAATGATAACTAATGTGTCATAAAATGCTGTGTGAGTCAAGGCAGGGCTCAAATGCAAAACTGAAGTCAAAGCATATACACATGAGGAAATCAGGACTGAGCGGACTTTAGGCCTCTTTAGTATATTGGATAAGACCTTCCTTTTGTCTCAGGTAAAGAAAATACACATTGGCTATATCATAACGTACAATAACTTGAGAAAAAGCTGAGGTTGGCTTTCTTTGCTCCAAACGCTCTACAGTATAAGTCCCTTGGGGTATGTGTGAGAAATTAGAATTTTTCTTTTTCCTCTGGTGTCTTTATAATATGTATAAGGGTTCTGACCCCAAGATATAATGCAGTTTATCATAAAATAAATTACTGTTCAGCAGTTTGTGGGAGGCATGTGAGTGGGACTGCTTGTTGATAGCAATACATATATTTTTCCTCAAAGAGAACTGGCCTTTTGAACAAGCTTCCAACGATGTGTTGCAGCAGGGTTTTGGAAGCGTTGGTAGGTATAAATAGCAAATCCAGTCGATTTGTTTATCCAGATGTACCTACCTGGCTAACTTCCTACTCGCAGTGGTGCAGGTCTTGCCTTGCCTCAAAGAAACTGAAGTTGAGATTTGTAAGAGTCTTCTCCTCTTGTGAAATTGTTTCTAGCATATCAGGTCCCCAGGTCATCCCTGCACTCAGTTTTGAAAGGACAAAAAATAAACTTTTTACTCTTCAACTTTGTCAGATTCTTTCACAGCCCTATGTTTTTTTTTTTCTAAAAGCATCCAAACAGATGAAGGATTGCTGTTCTTACTCTGGAGTCTGACAGGGATATTGTGATAGATGACCTCGGGCAAACAAGATGCCAAAATTGCTAATAAAAAGCACTCTAGAGGGCCATCAAGCAAAAGTCAACTAAAGGTTATCGGAACAAAAGAAAACAGAGGCATCATCCGTTCTCTCTTCTGCTATCACTCACTCTGATATTATTGACCGGATACTTCAGAAATAAATAAAGAAGCAGTTCAAATGTGAAAAAAAAATGACTAATAGGACCATTAAACTTCATCAAATGGGAACAAAAAAAGATCTGGATCCCTTGATGAACAATGTAGCCCAGGTTTTCAGGGCACGTGTTGTTGAATGTTGTCAAACTCTTGTGGAACTTAAGTCCTTCATTTAGGCAATAAGTCTCCAAAGGTTTGCTGATTTTCAGGTGGGGATGGGGTATGACCTGAAGCAAAGATTTATGTGTGAGCTGCTCTGAAGCTCTGCACTGAGAGACTTATTACTTTCATAAATGCAGTGAAAAGAATATGAATATTTAATTACTTTTTTTTTCTTGTCAAGAATTAGACAGAGGATACAAGTTTTATAACCCCAGTGGGGAAATGGGGTTGCAACAGCACCAAATTATACAACAAAAGAAGCATGTACTAAAAAATAATGCAGGAAAGAAATGTGCTAGTTATGTAAAAACACAAAAAAACAAAAAACAAGATGTGATGCCACAGCATACTTACTGTGCTTGGAGATATATCATATTTTTAAGTAGATACAGCTTACCATACTTAACACTATAGTTCAGTGCATAAGCATTCTGGGTTTTCATTAATTGGAAATCTAATTATTGGGTAATTTTAACATTTTGACCGAATGATGATGCTAAAGAAATACATTAATTAAGTTTATTTTGATTAGCAATCAATTGCTCCCTAATTGATATACTGCAGCTACTGTATATAGAGTGCCATAGTGACTACCCACTTTTTTAAGGGCTCTGCATAAAGCCCAGTAATATAGGTATTGACCATTTTTAATTGATTAATTAAAAATACAAGTCCAAGTCCAACATGAGTTTCACACACTTTGTTTATTAGACATTTATTCAAAAGTGTGTTACTTGCTTAAATTGTCATGAACAAATTTGTGTATTTTTCACCAAAAACGTAAACCTAATTTTTCATGATTTATTGGGTTAATAGCACTTACATTTATGCCACTTCCAGAATGCAATAATCAATAATCAGAATGTAATAATCAATAATCTGAAATGCCTGTGGTGTTGAGTTAAGATGCACTCTGGATTAGGACTGGGCGATATGTCGAGTTTTTAAATATATTGATATATTTTTATACGAGATATGAGATGTGACAATATCGTTTATATCAATATAGTCTATGGTACGTTATAACTATACTCAGTGGCGGTCCTAGCCTGTTTGGCGCCCTGGGCGAACACTCCCTCTGGCGCCCCCCCCACCACACACACATTTTTACCATTTCTTCTTGGAGCAACTGTAATCCACATTATTTC